CCCCGGGCTCGGGTCTGCGCCGCCGGGCCGGCTCGCGGGGTCGTGTGCGGTGCAGTCGGCGCCTCCCGCGGGCGCCTGAGGAGCGCAGACGGCTCCGGCCTCGCTCCGTGCTCCGCGCGCTTTGTGTCGCGCTGTCATTTCAGGGCGCGAGGACGCTTCTCTATGCATGAGGCGTTCTTCGGTTAGTAGAGTGCATTGAACACTGGTTCCTAAATTGAGTGCTTAGATCTCTGTGGGGACCCTTCGTAATTTGTTGTGTTTGTTTTACTGGAAATGAAATAAAACAGTATTTTGTTAAGATAAGCTTTGGCTTCCAGTCATCATTTAGTCCTCAAAATTTTCATTTCACTGAAACTTCAGTAACCATCCCATCTCATCTTTGAATGGTATTAGATGGACTTTTTTCTTCCCTTGAAGGTATATGGGGACTGGATAAAATATTCCAGATTAAACCCCAGCTCCGAGGGGAAAATGTGAATTAGAATAATAGTATTTTAGATGTTCAGCTGGGTGATGGGACAAGAAAGGTTTGGTTTTTAAAATGGGTGTTCATATATTTTATTGAGAGTTTTATAATTTGAGACTGATTTTTTTTTTTTTTTAATCTTTCAGGATCACTACTCTTGGAATCAAAGATAAATCCAAACACTGCATATCAGAAACAACAGGCAAGTAGTTGTTTATCTTTAATTTGAAAGACCTCATCTGTGATCAAGGAAGTATTAATCTGGCAAAGATGGAATGCTTTCCTGACAAGAAAAAATATTTGGTAAACAGAGCTAGACACCTTGTGTATTTCCCTTACAGGTTAAAAGTTTCAGACTGAAAAGTGAAAGTTTTTGTACTGGCACTGATTTATTATCTTTGAAGTGAGCCACTGTTAGTTAATATTAGAATACAATGTATTTGTTGGTCTAACTAAATAAAGTAAGCCAAGTCTCATACCATGTACTCCAAACCTTTTATTCTGAATCACATTTGAAGGAAATGACATAAAAGAAAATTCAAAGGGGCACTTTTTAAAGCAAGGGAAGCCTGTTCCTGAGATGAAATTAGATCGTTTGACTCGAGTGAGTTTTTGAAGGAGCATTCAAGTCCTGTTCTTTGTTATATTTTCTTTTAATAATCAGACGACACTTTACACATACATTGAAAATTGTGTAACATTTTTTGTTTGTATTTATTCTTGAGAGAGAAAACCTATGTTGCGTTTTAATATGCCTAAGTATTTAATTTAAAAACAATAGTAGATTCAACCTTTTTATTCCGTGAATGTTTTCATTTTTATTATGAAATATATCAAAATTGAAAAGTATAGAAAATAATATAATGGGTGTCTGTAACACCAACAGATTTAAGAATGTTAACATTATACTACATTTGTTTCAAATCTTTGTAATATTGAACATTACCGATATAGTTAAAAGTCCCCTCTGTATCCATTCTGTTCTACCTATTCTCTATTCTCCACATAGGTAACCTTATTTGGAAGTTGATGTGTATTCTTTTTGTACATGCTTTTATATCTCTTTCTGCAGATGTATGTATTCATAAACAATGTGTAGTCTTTTGTGTTTAAAACTTTACCCAACTGCTATCATCCTCTTAACATGTATTCTGCAACTTGCATTTTCCATTAATTTTAAAGATGTATTCATGTTACCAATGTAGATCAGTTGCTTTTTTTTTTTAAACATTGTATTGTATTCTAATGTGTTATATACACCTATTAGATATTTGGATTATTTCCATTTTGTGTGTGGTATATAAATATGGCAGAGATTTTGGAAGAAAAAGAGAAATTATTTTAGGGTTATATTTTATAACATCAAGCTTACTTCAAAGTCTATGAAAATTTGAATGCCACCAAATAAATACTTTACAATTGAAGGAATAAAATTGTGTCTATTGGACAGCTTTTCAATAGTGGAAGTTTTTTACTGTTAAATAAGTAGTTATGTAATACATTCTCAGTTCTTCAAAGTATTTTAGGTTTTTATATTTCAATTAATAGGGTTTTTTTTCCTCTACTTAGGAATGTTTTTTTCATTGTCTTTTTGAGACAGTGTCTCACTATGCAGTTGAGGCTGGCTTTGAGCCCACTTTGTAGCCTAGGCTGGCCTCGAACTCGCAATGATACTCCTGCCTCAGCCTCCCAAATGCTGGGATTGTAGGCATGCACCACCATACCCGGTGGAAATGTTTTTAAAAATTTTTTTTGGTGAAAAATCAAACATTTGTCTTAAATTGAACACCCAAAGATTTTTCCCATACATTAGACATTTTAAGATACACAGTTAAGTAAACTTAATTTCTAAATCAGCCATGAGGGTGGTTATTCTGTCTCTGTACTGAATTTTACTAGATAGCCATTTTGGGTTTTTTGTTTGTTTGCTTGCTCACTTGTAGAGAAATAGTATTATTTTGTCATTTTTCCTCTTTGTGTAAATACAAAATCAGGAAATTTCTTTTTAAAATTTTTTTAGGAAATTTGCTTTTTTTTGGTCTTTTTCCTCGTTAATGCTTGAGTCATAAGCGTCTCCCTACAAATTTATTTATTTATTTATTTATTTTGTTTTTTTCCCCCGTACTGGGAATCGAACTCATGTGACGTTGCGTTTGCCAGGCAGGCGCTGTGCCACTGAGCTAAATCCCCAGCCCCGCTTCTCCCTACAAATTTAACTATAGTAGAATTGCTCTCTAAGTTGTTTATGTGGTATTTTAGTGTTACTGCTGTTGAAAAGATCACATTATGGCAGACAGACATTTATTTATAAAGTAGTCCCACAACATGAGTTAAAACTACACAGTGGTAAACTGGGCACGGTGGCACATTCCTGTGATCCCAGCACTTGAGAGGCTGAGGCACGAGTATCATTGCAAGTTCGAGGCCAGCCTGAAGTACGTAGTGAGATCCTGTCTCAAAAAGACAAGGAAAAAAACACAGTAGTTCTGTGAATACTTTACAAATTTAAGGACTCAGTTTCATGCATAGTAGTTAGAAAACTAATTCGAGATGAATAGCATTTTTGTATGCATTTAATATCTATAAAGTGAAGAAAAATACACTTTTTAAACTATTTTGTGCTGTTGGGAAATACTTTCTGTAGCTAGTCAGTTGTTTTGTGTTTTGGAGGGTGGTGGTTGTATAATGGTACTGGGCATTCAATCCAGAGCCTCCGCACCGAGGAGCTACATCCTCAGCCTTTTAATTTTTATCAGAAGCCATGGTTTCATTAAGTCACTAAGCTGTCCAGGCTGAGCTCGAACTTGCCCTTTTCTTGTTACAGCCTTCCAGAGTGCTAGAATTACATGGGTGTGCCACCACACTCTGCCTAAATTTTTTTTCTAATAGATACAGTTTTTCTTATTTTCCCCAAAAATCTTAATTTGCATTTTTGATAAGTTACACAAATTGAGAGTTTTAAATAATATTTTTATGTTTACTGTAATTATTTTTAACGTTATCCTCTGTGCTTTTCACTAGTCTTGTTCATTAATGGATTTTTAATTAAAACTTAAGTTTTAGTTAGAATTACATATTAGTGGGTTTTAATTAAAAACTTGGTGACTGAAGACATGTTTATATAATATTTTGCTATATTAAAATACATTGAATAAATACAGAAACAAATGCTTAATATTCCTAAAATGAGCCAACTACTGAATTGTTTGCTCAGAATACATCTTACTTTCTTCCAGAAGTCAAGTACTGAATTGTAGGCTTAAAATAAGTTGAGAGTGAGTCAAGTTGAGTATCAAATGACTGAATATTAGATGTCATCATTCACTCACATTGCTTTCTTTCTTAATGTGTGTACTAAAGAAGTTAATGAGGAAAAGATGTACTTTCCCAATAAACTTGTGGAGCATTCCAACATATATTTTGGAAAGAAATAAGAATGATTATACAATACAGTGTGAAATAAAATGCCTGATGTGTGTGTCACATTTTTAAGTTAATTAAAATTAATCTCACTGATCTTAACTAAAAAGCAGAATGTATAGGGATATATAGACTTAAAGAAATAATTTTTTAAACACAGTTGTGTGTTAATTGGGTTTAGGAGAAAAACATAGGGAAGTCTTCACCTCAAATGTATTGAGAGACAAGCTTGCACAAGTGAAACAGTTGCAGAATGATAAAAAGATGGCTAACAGAGTGTTTTGATTCAGTCTTCGTTGAAGGCCCATGAAAGCATTTCACAGAGAGGCAAATAAGGTAACAAAAAGGTTACGATTCTTTTTTGTCCTTTTGACACAGGGTCTCACTATGCATTTCAGGCTGGGCTTGAGCTCACTTTGGAGCCCAGGCTGGTTTTGAACTCAAAACAGATCTTCTTGCCTTGGCCTCCCCATTGCTGGGGTTACAGGTGTGTGCCACCTCACCTGGCCTTTTTTTTTTTTTCCTTTTTCTTTTTTTGTCTTGTTTTTTTGAGAGAGGGTCTCACTGGGCAGTTCAGGCTGGCCTTGAGCTCAGTTTGTAGCCCAGGCTGGTCTCGAACTCGAAATGATCCTCCATGCTCGGCAGAAAGGTTAAGATTCCTGACTGGAATTCCTGACCAGATGTATGCCAATACAAAATATAAGCAATAAACTTGCATTCCACAGCCATAGGCAATGGAAAATTAGAGATGGGAGAAACTGATATGAGCTAAAATCATTAAGGAAAACTTTACTCTTGGTGGTGGTTGTTAAAGGAATTGTGACAGAGTAGAAAATAATACTCCCGCTAGGAGAGGTATTAACGCTATTTGCAGTAGGTATTTTTTGAAAACTTGCCTCGCTAAACAAAAGAGACCCGTTACAGGTGCTTCTCGGGCTTTAAAATGGTGAGAGTGACGCTGTGCCTGGGGAAACCAGTGTGGCTGTCATGAGTAAGTTGGGGGGGTTGGGGGGTGCAGCGCTTGGGGTATAGAGACTTAGATGTAAGAGGTGAGAGTCTTGAATTGACAGCAAGGAACTGAGTTCCATTGTATGTTCAAGAAAGTGCTAGGAGATTTGGTGAACAATTATATGAAAGAATCAAAGGTCACACAGTGTTTCTAAGTCTTTGGGGAGAGTGGGAGGAAAGTGGTTAAGTTGAGCAGATTTACATTCATTATTTGGTTTGAGGCTTGTTTATTGAGATAAACTTTAGGTTGAATATACAATACATTAGCATATTTTAAAATTCAAAAGGTATTTTTATAAAGTTTATCGGTACAATTTAGATATTCATAATGACCACATTCATCATGGAGAATTTGTACCTGTACATGATACATCTTAGTTCCTCTTTTTTTCCGGTTCCCCTCCCCTCTCTTTATCCCCTCTCCACGTCCTCATTTACAAAGCTTTGTTTCCATTTTAGCTTTTTTCCTCATTTTTTTTTCTTTTCTCTTCCATCCCTCCCCACTACATCCCCTTTCATTTTCAGAAGATATTTAATGATGTCTGTTTCCCACCTCAAAGGCTATTCATACCTTCCCTTTTCAAAGGCCATGCACATGACCCGTTTGTTAGTTTGTTATCTTTTTACGTTTGTTATCTTTTTAGAAGTATGCATATATAAGCAGAAATGCACACCATCATATATATACATAAGTATACACATATATAATGTGTCTGTATATGTATGTATGTTCCCTTTTGTTATATATGATAGCATACTATTTACTTCTCTGTG